TCCCCCCTCCCCTCCTCCCTCCTCTTACTTGGTGGTGTAGACGAACACGCCGCTCTCGTCCCACGCCCCGCTCTTCACGCGCGCGTTCTCTCACCTCCTCCCCATCCTCTCCCCTCCACCCTCCCCCCTCTCTCTCCCTCCTCTTACTTGGTGGTGTAGACGAACACGCCGCTCTCGTCCCACGCCCCGCTCTTCACGCGTGCGTTCTCTCACCTCCTCCCCATCCTCTCCCCTCCTCTCTCCCCCCTTCCCCTCCTCCCTCCTCTTACTTGGTGGTGTAGACGAACACGCCGCTCTCGTCCCACGCCCCGCTCTTCACGCGCGTTCTCTCACCTCCTCCCCATCCTCTCCCCTCCTCTCTCCCCCCTTCCCCTCCTCCCTCCTCTTACTTGGTGGTGTAGACGAACACGCCGGTCTCGTCCCACGCCCCGCTCTTCACGCGCGCGTTCTCTCACCTCCTCCCCATCCTCTCCCCTCCTCTCTCCCCCCTTCCCCTCCTCCCTCCTCTTACTTGGTGGTGTAGACGAACACGCCGGTCTCGTCCCACGCCCCGCTCTTCACTCGCGCGTTCTCGTGGATGGCGCACAGTGTCTCCATGCGGCGGTTGCAGATGGTGATCAGGTGTTTGCCGAGCAGCGAGACGTGCGTCATGTCCTGCGACCAGATCACGTAGCGCACCTGCGTGTCGTAAGAGAGAAGGACGTTAATGCTAGGTCACGTAGCGGGAAGAAGGAGCTCTTCTTTCAAGGAAGGCTTCATCATCATCATTCATCAAGAGCTTCATCACTAGATCATGTAGCAGCACGTTAATGCGAGATTAAATAACAGCATTTTAACACTATCTAGATCATGTAGCAGCATTTTAACACTAGAGCACTAGGACACCTTATGCAGGGAAAGCATTTTAACAATAGATTACAAATCAGTTTAAAATCGGCATCAGAAGCATTCGCGGATCATGCATCTAGGCACTCGCGGCGTGGGGAACGTGCGTTGCCGCCTCGCGCTCACCTTTGGCATCTTGACGGATGCTAGCGCCCTCTTCTGCTGGACGTCGAACAGCGTGATGGAGTCTGCGTCGCGCAGCAGGAGGCTTCCCGTTCCCGCGTAGAAGATGTCGTCGCAGTTCGGCGCCTGCACCTTCTTGCTCACCTGCGCGGAGGATGAAGATAGGGCTTCAGAATCAGCACCCGGCAGATAGGTGCGATATGATATGACTACTAGGCACTTAGGATATGACTACTAGGCACTTTAAAAAAAAAAACCTAACCCTAACCCTAACCCTAAAAAAAAAAAATTTTTATTAAATTAAAGTGCCTAGTAGTCATATCATATCGAACCTTTCTGCCTTCTGCCAGAATCACAACGCAGTTCACGGAAGGCATCCGTCTTGGGGTGCATTTCCGCGGCTTGAGGTTAAATCGAGATGGCGAGTTTCGGGACACGAATTTGAGTTGGTGTGGGAGGGGGGGAAGAGCTCATAGGTAAACATTGCCTTCAAAGGAGAGTCCCTAAAGCAAGTTTGTTGTCTTCTCATTGATACCCGAACCGTAATGTAATGATAACCGACTCGAGCGATACACGTCCCCCACCCTCATCCCGCACACGCAACCCTGTCGACTGTCCCACCGACCTCGTTCTTCAGGTTCTTGATGACGATGGCGTGCGTGCGGTCGAGCACGGCAAAGCGGTTTCGCGCCACCCACACGGCGGCGACGCCCGCGCTGCGCTTGCCCTCGGGCGCGTCCGGGTTCTGGGAGTCGGCGACGCGCGGCACCGCGTAGAGGTCGTAGGTCGAGTTGTCCTGGTTGGCGCCGCGGCAGCAGACAAGCACGGCGTTCTCCGCGGGGTTGTACGAGAGGCTGTAGAAGGTGCCTGCGGACGTACGAGAGAGATAGTAAGTGAGTGAGTGAGAGGGGGAGAGAGAGACAGAGAGAGAGAGAGAGAGGGGGAGAGAGAGAGAAAGAGAGAGAGAGAGAGTTGTCCTGGTTGGCACCGCGGCAGCAGACGAGAACGGCATTCTCCGCGGGGGTGTACGAGAGGCTGTAGAAGGTGCCTGCAGACGTACGAGAAAGATAGTGAGTGAGTGAGTGAGAGGGGGAGAGAGAGGAGAGCGAGAGAGAGAGATAGAGAGAGAAAGAGAGAGAGAGTGAGAGAGAGTTGTCCTGGTTGGCACCGCGGCAGCAGACGAGAACGGCATTCTCCGCGGGGGTGTACGAGAGGCTGTAGAAGGTGCCTGCGGACGTACGAGAGAGATAGTAAGTGAGTGAGTGAGAGGGGGAGAGAGAGAGACAGAGAGAGAGAGAGAGTTGTCCTGGTTGGCACCGCGGCCACATCATGCAACACATGCATATATACAAACCCACGCATGCACGACATGCACGCATACATATTACACAAAACATGCATGCATGCACGTTCCATGCACACAAATTGATCTCTGTGTCTCTGTCTCTCCCTCCATTCATTCCTCTACCCTCCACCCTTCTCTGCCTCCCTCCATCCCTCTATCTGCATCTCCCCCTCCCTCCATCCCTTCCTCCTCCCCTCCCTCTCTCGCCTCTATTTCTTCTCTCTCTCTCTCTCTCTCTCTCTCTCTCTCTCTCTCTCTCTCTCGTCCTCT